GATCCAAGGCTATAGTTTATGGCCTTTTCCATGGCCTGATTAGATTCACCTCAAAACTTTTGAATATCAAAAGATGCATAGGACACATGTATAGGATAGTACATTAACCTACAATTACTGTCATTCTCAAATGTTCTCTAACGTTGTTCCCATGTTATGGAGAAAAAGAATCCCACTGTGATTGCCAGGCAAAAATAATGATATTAAGGTATGACATAATACCCACAAAGTAACAGAATGCCACACAATCTTGACCTCACATTACACCTTTCTTTGCCTTCTCCTTATCACAATAATCTATATGAAATTTGTAAGGATTTTTTTTGCTTTTTTTCTATCTCAAAGTTTACTTATACAGCTTCCAGAAACCACAGACATGTGAAATCATTTACCCAAAGGATGCTCAATTATACCACAAGGTCATTTGCTCAAGTATGTTTATAGCTGCTTTATTTATACTACAAGATCTTGGAAACAAACTCAATGACCATCAACTGCTGAATGGATTTATAAAAAATCTGTTACATTTACGCAATGAAGTGCTACTCAGCAGTACAAAAAAAGGACATAGAAATTTCATAGGCAAATGCACATAAATAAAAAACCATCATGAGTGAGGTATCCAAGAATCAAAAAATATAGCATTTGCTCACTCATAAGTAGATAGAAAAAATAAAGCAAAAGATACCTAGCCTACAAAAAAATCCCTGAACATGCTACAACCCTCTTGCAGAAACAGATTATATCAGATGCAGAAATCCAACAATAGCGATTTTGCTAAGATCCTGGAGTAAATACAATGTAATAAAGGTGAAATATTATGAAGAATGGAATGAAGACCTTGATGGGGAAACCCACAGAATCAGCTGACCCAAGCTAGTGAGTTGAAACTCTGGTTCCAAAAGGAGGAAACCTAGATAGGACTGAACTCCACTCCCTTAATTCAGTTGAAAATGATGATTGTCAGATAATATATTGTACAAGCATTGGGGCCAAATTCCAACGATAATGCACAAACTGACACTTGGAGCTCATTCTATATGGAAAGGTAGCTTGGTCAACCCTCAACAAGGGTTATCAGTGGGTAGAGTTGTTCCTTGGTCCTGGGTCAAATAGATAATAAGCCAGACTTAGGGTATTTAATAGGGGAGGCCTTACCAGCACCTAAGAACAAATGACAGGTGGGGGTAATAGTGGGTAGTAGCAGGAGAGGAGGAGGAATGTAATTGGAATATAAAAATTAATTGATAAAAAAGAAATAAAAAGAATTAATGCAGGGCGTTGGTGATGCACCCCTTAATCCCAGCACTGGTGAGGCTGAGGCAGAGGGATCTCTGTGAGTTCAAGGCCTGCATGGTCTCCAGAGCGAGTACCAGGATAGGCTCCAAAGCTACACAGAGAAACCCTGTCTCAAAAAACCAAAAAAAGAATTAGCAATCAAAGTCATTAATATCTCTTAATATCAGTTGACATAATATACTTATAAAAAGACACAGGCTAATAGATTGTATATGAAAAGAGGATCTCTGCTAATTCTGTAAACATGAAACACACCTTAACATTAAAGACACTTAATACCTCATAATAAAAGTTTGTGAAATATTTTCCAATGAAAAATAATTTCCAATGAAACAGACATGAATAAACTTATGGTACTCTGATGGTTCCCCATTTGTCAGAATGGGGAGGGTGAGCTCCCAGTTGGTCAGGTCAGCTGTTTCTCTGGGTCTCTCCATCCTGGTATTGATCCATTTGCTCATGATTCCTCCCTTTCTGACACTACTTTCCTTGAGTTCAGTTCATTCTTTTACTTTGTGTGTATTCTTCTGCTTCCATCAGCTAATAGATGAAGGCTCTAGGATGGTATCACATTATAGGGGAAGTGCATTTAAGTTAGCCTCTTCACTATTGCTTAGATTGATAGTTGGGATTATCCTTGTGGATCCCTGGACATTTTCCTAGTGCCGTATTTTTCTTTAAACCTACAATTTACGCCTCTACAAAAGTATCTCTTTTTTAGCTCTCATCTATTCTTCCCCCTAATCAATCTGTCTGATCCCTCATGTTCTCCTATCCCCTCCTCTTCTCCACTCCTCTTTCACTTACCTACCACCTCCTTCCCTATTTTCACAAATATTCCAGAGCTCTTGTGCCTTTCCCCTACTCTGAGGAAGCATGTGTGCATCTGTTAGATTCCTACTTGTTCCTATCTTCTCTGGAGTTGTGTATCATAGACTATTTATCATTTGCTGTATGTCTAATATTCATACATTATTGAGTACATAGCATGTTTGCCTTTCTGTATATGGGTTACCTCATTCAGGGTGGTTTTTTCTAGTTCCATCCATTTGATTCATTTTTTTGTTTTTCCAGTGAGAGGTACAACAAATTCTTTATCCATTCTTTAGTCTAGGGACATCTCGGTTGTTTCTAGGTTTTTGATATTACAAATAGTGCTGTTATGAACATAGCTATATAAATGGGAAATTTGTATGAATGTAATTCTTTGGGTACATGCCAAAGGATTAAATAGCTAAATGGTGATATGCACTGATATCTAATTTTCAGAGAAACTTCCTACTGACTGCCAAACTGGTTTTATGACTTTTCACTGCCAGCAGCAGCAGAGAAGTGTTCACCTTTCTCAACATCATCTCCAGCATAAACTGTGCATGGTGTTTTCACTGTAGCCATCCTGGCAGTTTTAAGATAATATCTCTGAGTTGTTATGATTTACATTTCCCTGATGGCTATGGATGTTTATCAATTTCTTAAGTGTTTTTAGGCATTTTAGCCTCCTCTATTGACCAATCTAAAGTCCCAATGTATCAAAGACTTCGATGTAAATCCAGCCACACTGAAACACTTATCAGTGTAATTGAGAGGTAGAACTGAAAGAAGTTGTAAAACAGTTGACTTCCTGAAAATAACAGTAGCAGAGACAGATCAAAATTTCAATATTGGGGCCTCTTGAAACTGCTATGTTTCTGTAAGGCAAAAGACATAGTCAGCAAGAGGAAACACCAGCTCACAGAAATGGAAAAACACTTCAACAAACCCACATATAGCCAAGTTTTGATCTCTAAAATATAAACAGAACTGAAGAAAATTGTTACCAAAACACCAAATAATTCAATTTAAAAGTGGGGTACAGTACTAAATATTCAATACTCAATAGGGTTTTAATTCTTATGGAAGAGAACCTCTCCTAATAAAAGTTTTGGAGCAGGCCTTTCACTGAAGATATTTACTGAGATTATGTACCTCATGTTGGTTAACAGTTCCTGTTCCTTGGATATACTTAAAATTTTGTCATACGATTAATTGGAGAACCTACTCCATTTTATGGGGACAAAAAAGTAGTTTTACAGTGGCACATACATTAGGATATTAAAATCCAATTAAAAAGTTGTATCACAGTCACTGCCTGTTATTTGGGCCCATGATATGGGTAGAGACATTTCTGTAACATTTTCCAGTAAATACTTATCATCTGTCTGTCACAATCAATTACATCTTCAAAATCTAAACCAACCACCCCCACTCATGACCTCACAATATATCCTCCTGGACTTAGGCAGAAGGCACAAGTTGCTCTCTGGCTTTAACTATTTTTACTTCTGCTGACCCACAGTAACATACTATGGCTTCAGTCTATTACACATGTAAGTAAATTCATCTTTATACTATTCCCATTGATTGATGTCCACATAAGTATAATCCATACACTGAAGTTCAATAAATGGAGATAACCCCAAGTTTCTTGCATATTTTTATGAAAGTTTAAGGCTTCCTGGTGTTTTACTCAAACATTTTGGTACATTAGTTGTTGTACATTTAAGTTTTTTACTACATGAAGCTACTGTTTAAAAATTTGAGCTAAGTCTCTATGCAATTTAAATTTAACTGGGATGTATCTTAAATGATGTTAAACATTTAAAGTCATAAACCTCTATTTCAAATTATCAAAATATTTATACCACCCAGTCCATCCTCCAAGCTGTTTCTACAGGTAAAGATTCCTTTATCAAAGGGGATTTTCTCTAATTCTTTGTCCTTTATATTTTTAACTCTAACCTCCTGAGTTAGAAATGGTGACAGTCAGGCTGGAGGACCCTGAGTGATACATCCCTACACTGTCTCTCACATCTGACATCCAGCTCCCCAGACAGATCTGACACTAATCTGTAGTTACTTATGTGCTTAAGGCAAGTCATTAAAGGCAAACTTTTGTTCTGAAATATACAAATAGACAGTCAGCCCTCTGAACAGATATCTAGAAAATATGGCATATACAATGTTTTATTAAAAAGCTTTCCATCACAGAGAAAGGCCACATGTTGGCCCCACACAATTCCTCAAAGAATACTGGTGGGCAATTAAGAATCTTCACAGCATTCCTGTCTTTCTCAACTGCAGCAATGGACTCTTGAGACCATAGACAAGAGGAAATTGGAAACCGATTTCCCTTTGCTGCTTGGGCCAACTGAAAGTGAGCCTTCCTAAAGTTCTTCTCTAATCCACAAATCCTATGCTATCAGCAGGAGGCAGATGTCCATATAGCTGCTTTCCTTAACAGCCACAGAGGACCTTGGTGTTGTGTGGCCATGGGGGCTGTAAGAACAAAACACCTGGATGACCCTAACCCCGCCCCCTAACAACCCGCCCAGGCACACCCCCCCCCGCCATGCCTTTCGACCTTTGCCCTACTGCGCATATGCAACCTTCCCTTTAAAAGGTCCTGCCCCACACCCCTCGCTCTCTCTTCCTTTCGGCTACCCTAGGGTTGGCTGACTGCCCATCCCCCTTTTCCCCTCTTCTGGTAAATAAACTCCATATGGGTTGCTTATTCATTGTTCCTTTCTTTATTAGCACCTGCAGCTTAAACAAAAGAATAACATTTGGCGCCCTGGACGTGGGAAGGCTCTGCCCTTTATACCCCCTCCACATCCTGCTGGCGGGTACGTGTTGGGTCAAGGGCATCCTTAACACGCGGATAGACAATCCACATTCCATCCCACTGGTTTGCTGGAACTCTGCATACAACACCGGACCCAATTCGGTAAGGCTATCCCTTTCAGTCAGCGTAAACGTCTCCCTGAACCCGAGGGACTGACCGTTGATCGTCCGGCACCCCTCTGGTGTTCTTGGAGGCGGGGGAGC